ATCAGAATGGGTGTTGAACACTATAAAGAGAGGCTATTCGCTACAGTTCGCTCAACGTCCCCGCCGTTACACGGCGCGTGTCGAAACCACGGTAAACAAAGAAGTATCTCATCTACTTCGAGCGGAAATAGCGAAACTGCTGAGCAAAGGGGCCATAGAACCTTTATCTCAGACTCAGAGCGAAGGGGGGCTATACCATAGATATTTTCTGGTACCCAAAAAAGACGGGGGTCTCAGACCCATTCTAGATCTGCGGCAATTGAACAAAGCACTTTTGAAGCGCCAGTTCACCAGGAAAATCCTCGCGCAAGTTCGCCAGGGAGACTGGTTCATGTCAATGGATCTGAAAGACGCCTATTTCCAAATACAGATTGCGTCACGTCACAGGCGATTCTTGAGATTCGCCTTCGAGGGCCAGGCATATCAATACACAGTCCTACCGTTCGGCCTGTCCCTAGCACCCCGTACATTTACGAAGTGCATGGACGCGGCTCTCGCACCCCTGAGACTTCAGGGCATGCGAGTTTTGAACTACTTGGACGATTGGCTAATTCTAGCTCGATCACACTCAGAGCGCATAGAACACAGGACCACATTACTCGAGCATCTCGAGAGGCTGGGTCTTACAGTCAATTGGGCGAAGAGTTCGCTGTTTCCCAGCCAGAAAATTTCTTTTCTGGGAACAGTGCTGGACTCGCTGTCTATGACAGCACGTCTGTCGCCGGAGCGCGGACTGGACATTCAGCGCGCCGCAAAATTCTTCCGCCGCGCCTCTATAGTCCCGCTTAAAAGGTTTCAGAAAATGCTGGGTCTCATGGCCTCAGCATCTTCGGTACTTCAGCTGGGCCTGCTTCGCATGCGCCCACTGCAATTATGGCTGAAAGCGCGAGTTCCACCCCGGGCGTAAACCCCTGGTCTGTTTCGCCTTAGGGTCGACATGAAATGCGTTTCGGCTCTGGAACCGTGGAAAATAGCCGACTGGTATCAGTCAGGCGTGAGTCTGGGGACTCCCTCGAGTGTGACGGTGGTGTCTACGGACGCCTCCACCTCGGGATGGGGAGCACTGCTCGAGGGCAGACCGTTCTTTGGCCAGTGGTCGGAACGGGAAAAGCTTCTACACATAAACTGTCTGGAAATGCTGGCAGTCGACAACGCGCTACGGCGTTTTTGTCCCCAGATAAAAGGCCACCACGTCCTAGTCCGGTCGGACAACATGTCAGTGGCGGCATACATAAATCGCCAAGGTGGCGTCAGGTCCCGAAACCTTTACAGGCTGTCATTACGGTGATTATGCACTATAATCCCGGGCTACTGCCCTTGGGACTTTGGTGTCGGATCCCAGTACACACGGCGTGTTGCATTGTGCTCCCCATAGCGTAAGATATTACGCAGTACGAGAGATACTCTCGTAAGAGAACGTACTCGGTTACTAACGTAACCTCGGTTCTCTCTAGAGAGGAAACGAGTACTGCGTATCTTGCCGTGCATACAACAGCGCTAGCTCGCTTCAGTGATGAAAACCAGTTTGTATCAGCCTGTCGAGTGTATTTATAGGCCAAGGCCACGCCTATTCTGGCGGGACGTGACGAAATGGGCGCGAAGCGCCCCCATTGGGTATCACGTCCCACAGGGCCTCTCTCGATAGGCTGTTGCCGCAGGGTATGGCGTTATTATCCTGTCAGATGTCGAGAGCGCATTATTGTAGCGCGAAAGTACATTATTATTATGCGCGAGCGTGAATCTCTCTGCTCGCGCGCGGAATATGATATGCCGAGCGCGAATCTCTCTGCTCGCGCGCGAGAACTGGGCGCACGCTCTCAGATACACTTCTCTTGTAAGAATTCTCTCTCTGGGCTGAGTGGGCTGAGTGAGCTCGCTGCCTCGCTCAGAGAATATGCCTGCACTTAAAAACGTGTTCAGTGCAATCGCGAATCGCTCCTCTTCCCCAGCTAACAATTTTAGGTTATAAGAACGTTTTCATAACGTTCCCATTAAGTTATAAAAACGTTATTTCTGAATGTTCTAGGGAATTTCAAAAAGTCCCGTTTTTTAGACGTTGTATTAACGTGATTTCTTGGTTATAAGAACGTTCAATTCTCCCGTTATGTAAACGTTGTATTAATGTTATTTCCTGGTTATAATAACGTTAGAACGTTCAATTCTCCCTTTATATAAACGTTGTATTAACGTTCTTGCTTGGTTATAAGAACGTTATTCAAACGTTCAATTCTCCCATTATATAAACGTTCTCTTAATGTTTTTCTAAGATAATGAAAAACGTTTCATTCAATAAAAAACATTAAGAAATGTTTTAATAATTATTAAAACCTTTCTTAATGTTTTTAATATAACAAGGTAGCCTATATAATAGGCCTAGCCTATATGAAGAACCTAAAACAAGAACTTTCAGATTTTAAAATTAAGACAATTTTTTTTAAAAAAAGACCCATGAATCATGTCTATAATATGTGTAATGTAGTCCACTGAAGTCGAGTTGAATTGAACCCAAGTATAGTTTATTCCAATAAACCGATTTGGGTTGAAGTGACAATATGAAATTAACATGAACATAAACTTGGACTAAACATAGAATCACCAACAATGGTACAGGGAACAAAGCTAGACAAGAGACAATGGGAACACAAGGACAAGGATAATGACCAAAAACAACCAATGACATTCACAAGTTAAAGTTAATTTAATTTATATAGCTCATTTTTACAACAATTTCCAAGTTTATGTTCATGTTAATTTCATATGGTCACTTCAACCCAAATCGGTTTATTGGAATAAACTATAGGCCTACTTGGGTTCAATTCAACTCGACTTCAGTGGACTACATTACACATATTATAGACATGATTCATGGGTCTTTTTTTTTTTTAAATTTTTGTCTTAATTTTAAAATCTGAAAGTTCTTGTTTTAGGTTCTTCATATAGGCTAGGCCTATTATATTGTTATATAAAAAACATTAAGACAGGTTTTAATAATTATTAAAACATTTCTTAATGTTTTTTTATTGGATGAAACGTTTTTCATTATCTTAGAAAAACATTAAGAGAACGTTTATATAATGGGAGAATTGAACGTTTGAATAACGTTCTTATAACCAAGCAAGAACGTTAATACATACAACGTTTATACAAAGGGAGAATTGAACGTTCTAACGTTATTATAACCAGGAAATAACATTAATACAACGTTTACATAACGGGAGAATTGAACGTTCTTATAACCAAGAAATAACGTTAATAAAACGTCTAAAAAACGGGACTTTTTGAAATTCCCTAGAACATTCAGAAATAACGTTTTTATAACTTAATGGGAACGTTATGAAAACGTTCTTATAACCTACAATTGTTAGCTGGGGAAGAGGAGCGATTCGCGATTGCACTGAACACGTTTTTAAGTGCAGGCATATTCTCTGAGCGAGGCAGCGAGCTCACTCAGCCCAGAGAGAGAATTCTTACAAGAGAAGTGTATCTGAGAGCGCGCGCCCAGTTCCCGCGCGCGAGCAGAGAGATTCACGCTCGGCATATCATATTCCGCGCGCGAGCAGAGAGATTCGCGCTCGGCATATCATATTCCGCGCGCGAGCAGAGAGATTCACGCTCGGCATATCATATTCCGCGCGCGAGCAGAGAGATTCACGCTCGCGCATTATATTAATGTACTTTCGCGCTACAATAATGCGCTCTCGACATTTGCCAGGATAATAACGCCATAGCAGGGCAGCCAATGGGCGCGCGAGCCGTCTTGCCTATGTCTGCATGCTGCTGCACAGCGTTTTACATTAAATCAAAATTAAGGATAATTTTTGGCTTCAATATCTCGTGGAAAAGAGGTTTCCCCCTATAGCGTAAGATATCACGCAGTACTGGTTCCCTCTCTAGAGAGAACCGAGGTTACGTTAGTAACCGAGTACGTTTGGGCAGACACGTACAAGGTTGGTTGTGCCGCGCAGGCCTGTCCAAACGGTGTGGTTTCTTTCTCAACAAGGCCAGGAATCATATTTGTGTGCAACTATGCAACAGCGTAAGTATGAAAACCACGTTGGCAGGGGTGGCGAATTGTGAACGGTGCATTTTATGTAAAGCAGGATAATGCATGTTTTCGTACTGTTTGCACAAAATAAAATTGTTTTCAACAGAGGAAATTATCCAGTTGCTCCATACAGAGAAGGGTCACCGTGCAGTGGATGTGGTCAGGACACGTGTGAAAACAAACTCTGTCGTAAGTGTCAGTAATAAATATACTCATCCTGTCCAACAACTGCTTTACTTCACATCTCTCTCGTTCTTTCACAGGAAACTCATCCCGCGATGCCCTGCAGAGTAAGACAAGCCCTGATCTCTCAATCTGAATACACAGAAAACATGTTCACTTCACACACACAATTATAAATGTCTGACTGTCATCGCAATACAGCAAGTTTCTGTCTGTGCACAAATGCTTTTGATGGCGGAAGCTGATTATGTGGCATTAAACCATAAAAAACTACACAAGATTTCATAAATATGCATTAAATAGGATGAATATACACTCTTAAAAATAAAGAATCCATGGGTGTTTACATGAAGAACCTTTATTTGACCTTTGAGAGAATAAAAACTAATATTTGGAGACACTAAAACTAGACTGTAATTTCATTTACAGTACATTTCGGGTTTACAATTCTGGTTCACTAATAAAAACTAACTATTTTTATGGTAGAGATGCCAAACTCATAAATCATGACATTAAAACCTTCATCCATTGCATTTACTCAAGTTAACCTGGTGAAAACCGGTGTTCAAATGATGAGGAGGAAGTGGTTTGACCCACAATGCAGTGTGGTATACAACTGATGTGAGGTTTTGACTTGTTAGTTTGATCTAAAAGATTTCTCATAAGCTCTTTGAAAAAGCAGAAGTGAGTAAAAATAGTTCAGCATTACAAGTTAGGGCGATGTTCACATCACTAACAGGAAACTCTTCTCAGTCGTCAGTCAAACTCAGGGATGAGTGACTTTATTCAAACTCTGATCTCTGTCACCGTTCTGCTTAAAGTGGTTTCCAGCGAGCCCTTCTTCGATATCACGGATCCAGCATTTGTTGAGGAATGTGTGAGAGAACACAACATCCACCGCACAAACGTGACTCCACCGGCCAGCAACATGCGCTACATGGTAAATATGAGATGTTTATGATGTCTCTGATCAGTCCAGATGCATAAACTGCTTAGACTACAAGTCAGTCATTGTATTTTTCTCTTCAAGACTGGTCCAAACTTTTTAAAGTCAGTTGCATAAAATGGTAGTTTGGTCTGAATTGAAATGGAAAATTAAGGCTGATTACCTCTAGTCTAACTGCTAGTATTTTCACTTTTAGTTTCAAACTTTGAACTATAAAATAAAATATAAACTACAATAGACATCATTGTTGTTATAGTATTATTTGTATGCTATTACAGTATTTATAAATATGTTAAATTATTTTTTAAAGTGAGCTTTTCAGTATCTAATCAATTCCTCATAAAACCTGTTCTACGTTTTTTCTCATGTTTCACCGGATAAGTAACATTCCCTGCTGGGGGGGAAATAGCCTATGTTGATATGCTGGTCTTAACAAATGCTTTAATAGTAGAACAATAAGCTCCCAAAAATCCTCTAAACCAGTAGCAAATCATTTTGAAGCTGATTTAAGATGTTTTCTCAGCAGGGAATGAACAGAATTTCCCAATAGATGCAAAGGCATGAATCTGTACAGTGCAGTTTGCATGTGGGTCTACGGATCTGTTATAAGATTACAACATTAATCACAAATGAAGCCATAATAAGCGTGTGTGTGTGTGTGTGTGTGTGTGTGTGTGTGTGTGTGTGTGTGTGTAGACGTGGGATAAAGGGCTGGCGGTGACGGCGTGGGCCTGGGCGAGAGTCTGTGTCTTTAAACATAACATTCACCTTAAGGATGTGAGAAAGATGCATCCTACGTTCACTTCTGTGGGTGAAAACATCTGGGTTGGATATCCTTACACCCAATTCACAGTGAAATCTGCAGTTAAGTCATGGGTGGACGAGGTCCAAGATTACAATTACACTCAGAACCAGTGCTCAAAAGTGTGCGGCCACTACACACAGGTACACACACTACACTACACACTCAAAGCTCAACCAAACACTCATGTGTTCAAACATAAGTGAATAAGCCCTCTCTGTATCGCTTGTTTTCTGCACGTAAAGGTTGTTTGGGCAGACACGTACAAGGTTGGTTGTGCCGCGCAGGCCTGTCCAAACGGTGTGGTTTCTTTCTCAACAAGGCCAGGAATCATATTTGTGTGCAACTATGCAACAGCGTAAGTATGAAAACCACATTTGCAGGGGTGGCGAATTGTGAACGGTGCATTTTATGTAAAGCAGGATAATGCATGTGTTCGTACTGTTTGCACAAAATAAAATTGTTTTCAACAGAGGAAATTATCCAGTTGCTCCATACAGAGAAGGGTCACCGTGCAGTGGATGTGGTCAGGACACGTGTGAAAACAAACTCTGTCGTAAGTGTCAGTAATAAATATACTCATCCTGTCCAACAACCGCTTTACTTCACATCTCTCTCGTTCTTTCACAGGAAACTCATCCCGCGATGCCCTGCAGAGTAAGACAAGCCCTGATCTCTCAATCTGAATACACAGAAAACATCTGTTCACTTCACACACAATTATAAATGTCTGACTGTCATCGCAATACAGCAAGTTTCTGTCTGTGCACAAATGCTTTTGATGGCGGAAGCTGATTATGTGGCATTAAACCAAGATTTCATAAATATGCATTAAATAGGATGAATATACACTAATCCATGGGTGTTTCCATGAAGAACCTTTATTTGACCTCTGAGAGAATAAAAACGAATATTTGGAGACACTAAAACTAGACTATAAATCATATTTCCGATGTTTATGCTTTTACAAAAATTTAAATTTCTTGTTATTTCTGTTTACAATTCTGGTTCATTAACAAAATCTTGGTTCTGAAGCAAAATTAGTTGAGAAACACTGCAAATGCAACGGCTTTCAGACATTTGTAAGAGCGACTGGAGTGTTTTGAGCGGGTTCTGATTATCTTTTCAACATATCCTGCTATTAAAATCCCCTAATCTATGTGTGTTTGTGTAGGTTATCAGTGGACTCCTGACTGGGACCCAGCGCTGTCCTCCTGCGGCTCCTTCTGCCTGTCAGTTGTGATTATCAGACTCATATCTGTCCCGCTCATGTTTGCCTGTGTTTACTACCTGAATCGCCATCATAACCTGTTTGTATATGAGTGAATCAGCTTGAACTCAACTGCAAAAACTGAAAGTTCACATTCAGACAATGCCACATTTCCACTGGGACTGGGAGGAACATGAACTATTTGATGCACATTTAATGCAATTACATTAAAAGAGTAATTAAGAAGAAAATTATGCATTTTTATTACGCATTTTTTTTGCATTGACATTTTCATATCAATTGAGCGCATTTACCCCACAAATTCTCATTTCTGCAATGCAAAAAAATCTCATTCTCATGAACTGTCAAGTATCTGTAGATCACAGTATTTTAAACACTTTACAATAAGGATCCGTTCACTATCAATACATTAGGTATAATGAACTAAAAATGAAATACTTTCATAGCATTTATTAATCTAGATTCATTTTAAATTATATATACTACCCTTTAATATTTTTTATATTTAATACTAACATTTAATATTTCAATTTTTTTTATTAACAATAAATTAACAATGGACACACTGCAAAAAAAACAAGAAAAAATATCTGTCAGTTGGGTCATTACAATAGACTTAATTCAAAGGGAAAACAAGATGATTTTTCTTAGCCTATAAGCAAAAACTCAATATTGATAATTATTTCCAATTGCTTGTTTTCTCAAGTCATTTTGCTTCTCAAATAAACATATCTTAAATAAAGAATGTGTAGATATGACTCATGTTTGCCTGTGTTAATTGCCTGAATTGCCATCATATCCTGTTTGTGAAGCTTCACATTTCTATTTGAAAAACTATTTAACACAAAACTATTTGAAGCAAATTTTAGGCAAAGAATAATAAGAAAAAATGATGCATTAATTTAAGTGATTATTTTTGTGATTATACTGACATTTTCATAACAATTAAGCACATTTACAATGTTCTTTTTCTGCAATTACAAATTCTAATTTCTGCAATGCAAAATCTCATTCTAATGAACTTTCAAGTATCTGTAGATCACAGTAATATTTAATGGGTTTGATTCGGGCTGAAATGTGACCTGGACATGTTTTTCATCAAATAGTCCATCTAGTCCCTTCAGTTCAAATGAGTAAGACAGATATATGACAAAAATATCATTCGATTTATTGCCATATATCAGAGGAATTACTGAACTACATGTATATAAAAAAAAAAATATGAAAAAAAAAATGTTTATGCATTAGCATTCTGGGTAGCAAAAAAAAGATGAACATACAGAGGTACTTTGCTCATGACGAACAGCACGAGGGCAGAAGCATCACAAATTCAGCTGTTACAAAAGACGATGTCGATTTATAGATCATCTATAGCCTTTGAATGAGCACACTGTATATACTATTATTATACCTAAAGTATGTAACACGATCAATGAGCATCTGTCGTCTGCCTCAAACAGAAGCAGCGTTTAATAGTTTCTGACTCTACAGGACAACACATGCTGATTGTTCATATGGTCTACAGTTTTGTGTTTGTGTCTCTTATTCCTCATCTCCTACAAGCCAAAATCTAAAACATGATTGTGACATTGAGGTTTTATATTGACGAAGCATGAAACCAAACATCTTTTATATAAACACAATATATCCAGTGATGGTCTGAGTGTGTTTCTACAGGACCAGAGTTCGGATCGACCGACGCGAGTTAGCTTTTGAGTTTCTTCCGCTTGCCGTCTTTCACCGAAGGCGTCTCGGGGTTTACAGGAGGAGCTCCAAGCTTTTTACTTTTTGCTTTCTTCACTTTTTCTTTAATGGCTTGAATATCAATTTTGTTTTCTGTGGGTGCTATAAAGAAGAGAATAATAAATATTATATCATGAGTTCACATGCTTATTCATTTGAATTATTTACACAATATAAAGTCATATTACCAGGAATGTTACTAACCAATATTACTAGTTTTCTGACCAAGATCACATTCAGTACATGCAGTTAACTCTCAATAAATGCACAAGCTAAACATATTATATTTACATATTAGTTTATTTGATATATTTTGATGATTTAACCTTTTTTTTTATCATTTATTATTATGAATTATAATTTAATTTATAATTACTTTTATTATTATTATTATTATTACATTTTTTATACGATATGAGATGCCATCCTAGACCAGGGTTATTATCGTTAACTAAAACTAATCAAATCATTTCTGTTAATTAAATAAAATGTAATAATGATATCATTATACAACATGAGATGCACTTCTGGACCAGGGTTATTATCGTTAACTATTAAAAACATGTATGTTAATTGAAATGAAGCTGGTATATACTTTGTATATACATATATATATATATATATATATATACTTTTTTTTTTTTTTTTTTTTTAGGTTTAATTTATTTTTATTTCAGTGTTAGTTTATTTATTTCCAGTATATCCAGTATATAGTTTTTATTTATTTCCAGTTAATACTTTTATTTCAGTTTATTGGCAACACTTCTAATTTTTGTTTAGTTGGAAAAACTTATACTAAACAAAAATCAGAAATGTTGCCAATAAACCGAGATAAAATTACTAACTGGAAATAAAACTAAAACAAACTAAAACTTAAATAAAAATAAATTAAAAACCTAAAAAGCAATATTAAAAAAAAATTAAAATGTTTAAATGGCAAAAGCTCATTTTATTTTATATCTCAGCTACTAAAATCAACATGAAAAAATATCTATTTTAAAATATTAATAAAAACTTAAATAAAACTGTTATGTGGTGAGTGAAGCCGCTTCACAGATTCAAAAACATTCCACTTATGATTTCATGACTTATCACTGTCGCATGTGTCTCAGTGTATTCTGCATCGTGCAGTATTTGCTGACAGCGGGTTCTGCCGTACCTGGTTTGGTCTTCTTCACGGCGGGCTTCTCTTTAGGGGGAATGAAATCCTTCTGCCGCTGCTCTTGTCTCTTGGATAAAGCTTCAGCCTGTTTCACCTTCAGTTCAAGAAAACAACAAGCGGTTACGAGTGAACTAGTTCCAATCACTCCCTGCATCTGTGCAAACACTCATAAAAACATCAAACCTTAATCTCAGTCATCTTCTTGCGTCTCTTCTCGCTCTCTAGCAGGAAGAACTCGCCGGTCGCCAGTTGCTGATCAATCTGTGCAGAAGAATATTTCACTTAGGCAGAAAGCTCAAAAAAGAGCTTTTCATTTATTTATTGATTATTATATGTGCGAGGATGTCCACAAAAATACATTAATTCAACTAAAAACTCAACAAAAATATTTATTTAAAAATAAAGTATTTATAGATTTGATATTATATCAAAGAGTATATATAAATATATATAATTATAATATTGTTATTATTTAATAATATCAAGTATCAACTCGATCAATACTTTATTTTGCTAAACAGTTGTTCTCAGGTTCAAGTTGTTTGTTTCTATTTTTTTGATACCTGTCTGATTATTATTTTAATAATTATTATTCATTTCACATTGAATTGTGCAGATTGAATATGTAAAAAACACTAAAAGAAATGGTAACACTTCACAATACGGTTCCATTAGTTAATGTTAAGCCAATGCATTAACTAACAAGTAATATAGTATTAATTAATAACGTTATGTTTATTGTTAATTCATGTTAGCTCAGGTCCATTAAATAATATTAACAGATACAACTTCTGACTTTAATAATATATAAGTAAATAATGAAATTAACATTAAGATTAATAAAAGCTTTAGAAGTACTCTTCATGGTTAGTTCATGTTAACTAATGTTGCCAAGCAAATAAGCTATTAATTGGCTTAATTACATTTGTATCTTTTATCATATTGCTGTTGTCACCATGTCCAAAATTAAAACAAATGATTGTTTATGATGATGATTTCATGTTTATGCAGGTGTTTGTGTGTAAAAACACCCTGTACTCGTGGTAAAACCCTCGAGTGTCTTATTGCTACCGTATCACATGATTCCTGTCGGGAAGTGTCGCTCGTACCTTGCTCTCGGGCTGAGGCGGGGGGAACGGCGTGTACTCCTTCTTCTTGATCGTCTTCTTCTTCGGCTGCTTGCGTTTGGAGAGACTCTTATGCCGGAAGTTGGGCAGGAATCTCTCCCAGTTCTGAGTGCGCAGATCCGGGTCGCTCGCCAGCTCCCGCTTGATCATTAATGTCTGGAGAGGATTGAATCACAAATGCACTTACTGTTAGAGTCACTCATGACGGCAGTAACACCTTTTTAATTTACAGACCATCCTCCTGACATGGTTTACAACTAGAGCTGCACGATTAATCATGAAAAGATCTTGATTCAAACACCCAAGTGATCTTACTCCTAAATAACAACGATTCAGCAATAAGTCTATTAAACCTTTAAACAAGTACGATCGCACTGATTCAGATCTGCATTGGCGGAGAGAGCAGTTGATGAGACAGCTTCACAAACAGTCTTTTCAACCACACATTATTGTTATTTCTGTGTTACAATCATTCAAATTATCACTAGTATAAAAGTTTATAGTTAAGAATATAAACACTGATGTCTGCGGTAGTGATCAAAACAGAGTAAATCACCTTTTGAAAGTAACAATGCTTTAAATAAAAATTCTATTAATTACATCATTACACCAGTAGGTGGCGACACGTGACTGTTAAAAAGTTTATTTGTCATTGAATCATTTATTCAAGAGATTCGTTCAAAAACGTTGATTCATCCAGTAATGAAAGTCTTTGAGTGAGTCATTGAATAATTCATTCGAGCTGATTAAAAAAATTATTAAATCAAATCAATTAAACATTTTGACAGAACCTCATGTAAATTACATTATTTTGTTTTGATTCTCATGGGAGAATCTTGATCTCTATTTAAAAAATAATTCATGATTCTCAATTTATCCAGAATCGTGCAGCTCTATTCACAACCAATGACAACTTTCTTTACACTAAATCTTATTTTATAATATTACACAGTCTTCTATGTACCTTTATGTTGTAAATGGGGTGAATGTTCTTCATTGTCTCAAGCACGACTTTCCGTACCTGCAGAAACAAGCGAGAAGCACAAACTGATTCATTTACATTCGTGTAATTATGACTGAACAAAAGTAGTGTGGTTAGTTTTCAGGGTGAACAGTTTTGAATGATTAAAATGAGGCCACTGAATGTCTCACCTCCTTCAAGCCATTGAACGGGCCGAGAGCCGACACTGTGTTGCCCTGAACCATCACGTAACAGTTGGTCAGAAGCTCTAGTGCCTGAAACAGAACAAACGCATGAGATTTGATCACATTTACTGTAACGTCGAAGAGACATGCAAAACATAAAGCTGCAAAAGCAATAAAACAACAACACAACAATCAAAAGAACATCTCTTAAAAGTAAAGAACAAAAGAGCAAAGAATATTAAAAAGAGGAATCTAAAGTCCACCAGAGAAAATGCAACTGTTTTTTAGCTTTCTAAATTAATTAAAAGAAAGAAATGTATTAAAAATGGCTATCAAAACTATTTGAGTGAAAACTTGAGTGAATTGGAAAATGTACATGAAATATTGCTAAGTTTAAATGAAAAACTAAATCACAGATTTTCAATGTGGTCTGAGACTTTTGGATCTCACTGTCTGGGGATTAAAAAATAATGACAAGTGAAGTGTAAAATGAACAAATGAAGGGAGACATTGCTGTAAAGTGAGCATTATCTTTGCTCACCTTCAGCGTGGAGCCCTTGGGGCCGATCAGTCTCTGGCGTCTCTTCACAAAGCGCTCTCTGTTTCGCACAAGAGTCCCAATTTTTATGATGTCACAAGCCATGTCGTCTTCAAGTATCCGTACAGCCTGAAATGAACAGGAAGGTTCAGCATAAGACTTTAGGCTAAATTTTATATATTAAGATTTTTTATATTTTTAAAAAGGCCTCTTATGCTCACCAAGGCTGCATTCATTTGTTCAAAAATTGTGAAATATTCCCATATAAAATAATTTTTTCTACTTGAATATATTTTAAAATGTAATTTATTAATTTGATCTAAGCTGAATTTTCAGCATCATTACTCCAGTCTTCAGTGTCACATGATCCTTCAGAAATCATTCTAATATGATGATTTGCTGCTTCATATTTTCATGATACATTTTTTTTTCATTTGGATTCTTTGATTAATAAAATACTTACAAGAACAGCATTTATTTGAAATAGAAATATTTTGTAACATTATAAATGTCTGTATCGACACTTTTGATCAACAATGATAATCTGTCCTTTTGCACAGAATTCACTGATTTTGCACACTAATTCAGATATATTATATATATATGTATGTATATATTAATAACATTAGAATGAAGGATCGTGTGACACTGAAGACTGGAATAATGGCTGATAAAAATTCAGCTTTGCATCACAGAAATAAATTATAATTTAAAATATATTAAGATAGAATACTATTATTTGAAATTGTAATAATATTTTGCAAATTACTGGGGGTTTTGTTCTGTATTTTTGATCAAATAAAGGCAGGCTTGATGAGCATAAGAGACTTCTTTCAAAAACATAAAAAATAGTAATGTTTCCAAACTGTTGACCGGTACGGAATAACTATATATAAAATCAGTGAATTACATCGCTTGTAAAGCAGTACAATGCATACCTGTTCAAACGGCACACTTCTGGCCAATAACTTGATGAGATCCCTTGCTCTGAGGATTGCATACGGGTCAAATGTTTTCTTTGTTGTGTGCACCGTCATACTGCCTTCAATCAGGTCCAGTGTGGCATTGATGAACTACAGAACAGCAGGAGATGTCAAAAGAAAATAGACAAACTAATTCAGTGAGCTTACAAGCATTTTTAAAACCAAATGAAGATTTTCCTGACACGCACCACATCTCCGAGCGCTTTCTGCACCAGCGGCCAGCACACTTTCAGGTACGCCTCCCTGTACTTGGGGAAAAGTGTGGCGAAGCTGCTCTCCTCCAGCAAACCTTTGGGGTTGTCCTCTCGGGTGAACTTGGGCTCTTTCCAGCCGTCTGGTACCATCAGCAGCTCGGTCTCATCCACTACGTTTCAGACAAAAGACCAGAGATTAATTAGTAAGTCATTAGGAATCTTACAGTAATCTGGGGATGTGTGTTTATTCCCCCAAATTTGCATGTAATATTATGTTCCACCTTGGAGAAGCTTGTAAATACCATTGTACACAAACATTAAAACACTTAGTACTGTAGTATATGTATTATACCACGGTATTAACATTAAATATCACACTGAGCCTGTACTAGTACACCTATAGAGCTGGAAAATCAACATTCAGAGATTTAAACACTACGTCACACCACCCTTAAAGTTTATTTACTTTTTCCTACTGACATCAGTTGTGTATTAGATAAATACAACCGAAGAGGTGGAAGACAACAAATGCACAATAACTGAATGTTTTGATGAAACAGTAATGAAATACGCACACTAACAAAGTACTACATCATTGTAGCTGCAAGAAAACCAGAACTTTAATTCTACACGAGCTGCAATCACACATAAACATGTCATTTAACTTCACTAATATGGAATTATAGGCGCGATGTCAACACGCACTGTTAGGATAATACTGTGTATAATTAACTGTTTCTAAGTGTAGTTGTACCTGTATTTTTGCTCTTTTTCTGTTTTTTATTTGTTGGCGTTTCACTCGTGCTTTCCGTGGGCGCCGCCATTGCTGCTGTTAGCAGTGACGTCAGACACTACGTCTGGTTGTCATGAGCACGAGGCAAACAGCGCGCGTACTGCCGCCTGGCGGTGTGGAGGAGTTATCATATACACAATTATTATTTAAAACCTGTTTACAATTATTATTTATTCCATTTCACAAAACTAGAAGTATATATTTGAATGTGTGATATATTTGAAAATTGATTAATCGCATCAAACATAAAAAAGTTTGTGATTATGTGTGTGTGTGTGTGTGTATAGCCATAGAGAGAGAGAGAGAGAGAGAGAGAGAGAGAGAGAGAGAGAGAGAGAGAGAGAGAGAGAGAGAGAGAGAGAGAGAGAGAGAGAGAGAGAGAGAGAGAGAGAGAGAGAGAGAGAGAGAGAGAGAGAGAGAGAGAGGCAGACACGCACACACACAAACATATAAATATAATAATATACACACAGTCACGCACACAAACAATGTTAGGTGCAATTAATCACAATTACTTTGACAGCACTATTTGTGTGAGTGTGTTTTCATTGACTATTATAATCATAAGACACAAGTTATGAATTGATTTCTTATGTATATGGTAGCCATACGCTAAGGTACTCAGGTTATATAAATATTTAAATCTAATTTTACTAATATCATTAAATCACTATTTACTATGAAATTTCATGTTATTTGAATGCTTTTTTAATAGTCCAAATCACCAACTCAACTTGTAGTATCCGACAAAGAACGGCTTGGGAATCGATGTGATTTAATTTTCTAAAGTACAGACAGTCTGCTTGTCATTACACACACACACACACACACACACAACAGAGTCCCAGTGCGCAGCATAATAAGAGTCACAAGTGCTCAAACTGAGGATGCATCAGTCGGTCCCGAGCGGGCAGGAGTGCAGAAGCGGGAGTAAGTATGCGGTCGTACAGGTGTGTGTTGTGTCTGTGTGTGCTGGCTTGTGTGTTGATCAGCACTGGATCCAGCACAGAGGAGCGGATGAAGCTGGTGGCTTTACTGCGCAGTGTGTCTCCAGCAGCACTGATCTCAGATCAGCCCCTCATCACGGACCAACAAGCTTCTGCTGGGCCCAAACTGCTCCTTAAAGACGGGACCATCCAGGGCCTGACACTGGACAAGTCTCATGTTTTTTATGGGATCCCGTTCGCCGATCCGCCTGTGGCAGCGTCCCGCTGGAAGGCACCACAGCCCGTCACACCGTGGAGAGGGGTGCGAGACGCCACCTATCCCAGAGCGCCGTGCATGCAGGCCTGCGTCGGACCCATCTCTGACGAGTGTCCCAAGAAGGTGAGCGGGACACGGCGACGGGCGGGACGTCACTGACTCTGGGGATTGTAAGATCAGCAAAAACATTTCAGCTGTTTGGGTCCATTAAAATCAAGAGCTTTTGCTATATTAAGCTATTTCTCTTGATTAAACACAGAATTAGGTTAAATGGGTTAATTAATAATATATACACAGAATAGATCTAAAAAATGTGTTGAAAAGCCCTGAAAATGTCAGATTCTGCATGTCAGATTTTTATTTATTAAAATGTTTGTTTTTCCATGAAATCTTTGGGTGAACTTAATTTTCACCCCAAAAACTGAAAGAAGAAATCAAATCTAAACCTTATATTTATTTTTTGAGTTACTTTTTGCATAAAGACAATTAAGGCTATTTTAGTACCATTTAGATTCACATTACATTTGGACATAATGACAATTAAAGCACATTTTCACACCAATATTCTTATTGATAAATTTCCCATTAAATTCAATGAATTGTATATATATATATATATATATATATATATATATAATTTTTTGCCTTACATTTATGTACATTACATTTCCATTAATTTCATTCAGCGATTTTTTTCATTAAATGACAAAATTGTTCTCATATATATATATATATATATATATATATATATATATATATATATATATATATACACTCACCGGCCACTTTATTAGGTACACCTGTCCAACTGCTCGTTAACACTTAATTTCTAAGCAGCCAATCACATGGTGGCAACTCAGTGCATTTAGGCATGTAGACATGGTCAAGACAATCTCCTGCAGTTCAAACCGAGCATCAGTATGGGGAAGAAAGTTGATTTGAGTGACTTTGAACGTGGCATGATTGTTGGTGCCAGAAGGGCTGGTCTGAGTATTTCAGAAACTGCTAATCTACTGGGATTTTCACGCACAACCATCTCTAGGGTTTACAGAGAATGGTCCGAAAAAGAAAAAACATCCAGTGAGCGGCAGTTCTGTGGGCGGAAATGCCTTGTTGATGCCAGAGGTCAGAGGAGAATGGCCAGACTGGTTCGAGCTGATAGAAGGGCAACAGTGACTGAAATAACCACTCGTTACAACCGAGGTATGCAGCAAAGCATTTGTGAAGCCACAACACGCACAACCTTGAGGCGGATGGGCTACAACAGCAGAAGACTCCACCGGGTACCACTCATCTCCACTACAAATAGGAAAAAGAGGCTACAATTTGCAAGAGCTCACCAAAATTGAACAGTTGAAGACTGGAAAAATGTTGCCTGGTCTGATGAGTCTCGATTTCTGTTGAGACATTCAGATGTTAGAGTCAGAATTTGGCGTAAACAGAATGAGAACATGGAACCATCATGCCTTGTTACCACTGTGCAGGCTGGTGGTGGTGGTGTAATGGTGTGGGGGATGTTTTCCTGGCACACTTTAGGCCCCTTAGTGCCAATTGGGCATCGTTTAAATGCCACGGCCTACCTGAGGATTGTTTCTGACCATGTCCATCCCTTTATGGCCACCATGTACCCATCCTCTGATGGCTACTTCCACCATGTCACAAAGCTCTAATCATTTCAAATTGGTTTCTTGAACATGACAATGAGTTCACTGTACTAAAATGGCCTCCACAGTCACCAGATCTCAACCCAATAGAGCATCTTTGGGATGTGGTGGAACGGGAGATTCGCATCATGGATGTGCAGCCGACAAATCTGCGGCAACTGTGTGATGCCATCATGTCAATATGGACCAAACTCCCTGAGGAATGCTTCCAGCACCTTGTTGAATCTATGCCACGAAGAATTGAGGCAGTTCTGAAGGCAAAAGGGGGTCCAACCCGTTACTAGCATGGGGTACCTAATAAAGTGGCCGGTGAGTGTATATATAGCATATATATGAAAAAACATATATATGAAATAATTATTATTTTGCTTTAAAAATAAAGCTATTTTTATAAATAAAAATGAATTAACAGTAATTGCAATGCAAAAGAAAATTTCTAAAAAGATAAAAAATACAATTGATGCTCATATTACAATAAGAAATTAGTATGAAACTACATTAAATTGTCAATAATTCCCATACAATTTAATGATTTTTAAATAAAATAAATATGAATTAAATATTTATTTTTGCATTACAATTATATATATACAGTATAGGCTTATATCAGGCTTTTATACGTATATTGCATTACAATTATGTATGTACTGTGACGCCCCTGGTGGAAAAACACAGAATGACTAAACTCATTTTTATTTCAATGAGACCATTTAAAATATATTAAATATATATAAATATATTTATTTAAGGACTATATTGTTCATTAGGGGGATAATGTGACAATATTTCACTTGTATGTGTCTCAGTGTCGGCATGCGTCATTAGCCTATTACTATGTAGTAGCCTACTATTATTTGGAATATAGCGCACAAGTCATATGGACAACATATAGAGTAAAAGATGACAGAGTATTTGTTTTGAATAGTGTTTTCTCTCGTCAGGTGAGTGAGGACTGTCTGTACCTGAACGTGTTTGCTCCTCTGAGCGGGAACTCCTCGGCTCCTCTCCCGGTGATGGTGTGGATCCACGGCGGAGACTTCATCGCGGGATCCGCCTCGAAAGCGCTTTACGACGGACGCTTCATCAGTAACTTCACTCGAACTGTGGTCGTGAGCATCGCCTACCGCCTGGGTGAGACACTTCTGACTGTAAAATAAGTAACGATACCCTCATGTTACGATTCGATACATTTCACGATACGATATTATTGCGATACTCCAAGACATTTGGTAAAATGTTAACAAAAAATGTACTGTTGTTGATTAAAATGCTAAACTTGGTGTTGCATTGTGGGTGGAAATGAAAATGGACTTGGTGCTGGGAATATACAGGACAATGGTGACACCAGAATAAAAAATATTCATGATTCTGAAGCTGAAAATAGGCTACATAGATATTTTTTAAACAAATGTAGGCCACTTTTTACTGGTAACATCAAACATTTGGCATTATCAGGACCCACAAATAGGCTATTCCCCCATTATACATTATATTCAACATTATATAGGCCTATAGTAGTTTAATGTAGTCCAAACTCTGAAAACTTGATTTTTTTACTCACAAAGAAATTTTATTTATATACAATACATATTGTTGCATTTTTGTATTGCGATATATTGTGACACGATATATTGTTACACCCCTAAAAATAAGTCATGAACACACAGCTGAATCTGTCTCTCTGCAGGGGCTTTCGGCTTTCTAGTGTCGGGAAAAGACCCGGGAACGTCAGCGGTGGGGAATTATGGGATTCTGGATCAGCAAGCGGCTTTGCTCTGGGTGCAACAGAACATCGCCGTGTTTGGAGGAGACCCAAGTAAAGTGAGGACAACTTACAGAAACCTCTTTATAAATGTCTAAGCCACGTCTAAAGGCCTGCTGAGCACAACAAGGACAATAACTACAAATTTAGTTCTAAAAATCGTTGTTAATATAAAAGAATATCAGAGGCCACACCACAACTATAACGATAGCGACACAGAGGAACGATATCAGTGGAATCACTTTCAGAACGACCTTTTCTAGCTGATGATGAACAACAAAAACATTGACAATCAGAATCTATCCTGCTATAAAGAGCTCAAGCATTTACATTTTTATATATAGGCTATATATATATATACATATTAGAGCTGTCGAATCCATTAATCGTATCTAACACAAAAGTTTGTGTTTATATGTATATATTATTAGTTTAGTTTGCATTTATTGTCATTGAATGTG